CAGCAGGTTGGTTTGGATGGAGCTGGAGCTCGTAGCGGGCGGCAATGGTGGTTGACGACGCAGTAGTGATTGTTGCTTCTCAAAAGAACGAGGGGTCGTGGGGGTGGTGTTTGGTGGTTTGTTGGTGGTTTCGGGGTAGGGCTCCGGTCGGGTTTTTTTTTTGTTTTTTGACAGTAGGGTTTTTCGTTGGTTCCTTTTCAGGAAGAGGAAGATGTACAGTAGTCCGTTTCCAATTTTTTCAAGTCCCCGTTGGTTTTTTCCAAAAATCCCCCCTTTCCAACCCCTTTGTCCGTGTATTTAGTACCCTTGCCAAGGAAAATGGGCCCCACGCGTGGTGGGGTTCAAGGTTTGTGTCTCCCACGCGTGGTGGGGTTCCCCGTGTATGGGGTTCCGTCCATGTTCCCCACGCGTGTCCTCCACGTGTGGTGGACTCGGATTATTGTGGGCTAGGTCCGAAAATTAGGCCTGAAACAGGGTAGTTTGAACCCGAATCAATTCTCATTAAATTTTATGCTTAATTCTCTTTTAATGAATGTATTTAGTCTTTTTTTTAGTTTTCCATCCGGTGTTCGGTATTCATATTTGAGTCCGACTATATCCGAATTTGCACCCCATAGGACCTCATTCGGGGGGAAAATGTTCCCTACCAAGGATTTTTTTCATACCTAGAGTTTGAACCCGAGAATTCTAATTAAGGGAAGAAAAGTCTCATCCAGTGCACCATATCCTTTGGTGGTTAACGATTATATTTAGTCGATCCAATGTGATTTCATTGTATTGGATTCGTAAATATAAAAATCAAAACGGAACCAAAAAAGTCAAACTTTTATAAACATTATATCATCATTTAAAAAAAGAAAAGAAAATGAGAATGAAAAAGAAGTTTGATTCATCATTTTTCCGGTTAAAACGAAATTCAATTCACTGGCCTACTTTCTAGCACCACCATTTTCACTTCAACCACAAGAAATAAAAAATAAAACAAAACAAAACAAATGTGGAGTTTGGGGTCCACATCTTAGCCACCACAAACTACAAAGCACTACAGAACGTGACAATATGGCCTAACGCAAATTGTTTTAAAAAAAAAAAAAATTCCTCCCTAAGGGCAGCGCCAAAATAACTTCAGGGCCCCATTCATTTTCTGGGAAGTTCCGTGACCGTGACTGCCCTTTTTCCTTCCGCTGCCCGTCCACATTTCACCGTTCGATCTTTCAATTCCAACGGCCCAGATCTTGCCTAACATACCACGTAAGCTCGGCCTTAATAATCGGAATCTAATAAAGCCTTTAATTAAACAACCGCATATGGCCACGTCACTTATCCATCTAACGCTTCAGGTGGTTTCCAACTAGACAATCGGATGATCTACACCGTTGATTTTACTTCTAGATCTTCATCACACGGGCCCCACCTGTCTATTTGTGGAAAAAAGGAACTGGACAGTACTAAATGTACTCACTTTAATAATACTAAAAAATAAAAAAGGAAAAAAACATAATTATTTTGAATAGCGAAAAAAATGTAAGTAAAACCCGATAATTAATGAATTTGACCGGCTGGAACGATATTTTCTGCAGTCACCTAGATTCCTTGTGATCGTCATGTTTTTTTGCTTTTACCAAGGTCAGTCACACACATTTAACAACCGGCTATAGCCGGTCACCTGAACAAAACTTGGAGGGGTAACTTTTGTTTGTTCCATTCAATCGTGAAAAGTGCCCCACACACCGGGGCCCACGAAAATTAAATGTATTGTTTTGTCAGAATAACAAAAAAAGCTCCCTCCTTATTTTAGTCACCCACCCACCCCACTTTATTTAAATCAGGAACATGGTGAGGAGATGACCGACACGTGTCAGTCTGAATCTGACGGTGCGAGCACATGCCATGCTGGCAAGATGGATTAATAGCCGTAGGATGAGATGGTGAATGGACGGTGGGAGATGTAAAGGAATTGTCAAAAGTGAGAGATCTCAACCTTCTACGAGGGTTTGAAGAGTGTGATATAGCCAAAAGCTGATGAAGATAGAGAGCAGAAAAAGGAGACCCAACAAAGATAGATAGAGAGAGAGAGAAGAGAAGAGAGAGAAGAGAAGAGGAGAAGAAATCCAAGAAAACACACACCCATTTGTGAAAAGTTAAGATCTTTGAAAGAATTAATTTGTGGGGTTGTTGTTTTATCTCCGGCCTGAAAGTGAAGAAAAACCCATTTCCGTCGAAATTGGCCATAAATTCCGGTGAATTATGCTAGACCTCATCTGGGGTTAGTTTATACCTTTCACCGGAGAAGAAAAAAAGAAAAGCTTTTGTTTTTCTCTCTCTATCAAACAAATGGATAGGAACAGAGAAGCAAGAAGAAGTGGGGGTATGGTAGCAGCGGCAGCTACATCTAATGGATTATCATCAAGACGCAGACATAGAACTAATAGTCTTAGAGATTCCCCTGGTACAAATCTTAGATCCATAATTTTTTTAATGATTCTTTAAATTAATTTTTTTTCCTTGATGAACTAATTGTTTTTGTTTTTGTTGCAGATGAAGATGGGGGTGTAGAGATACAAGAATCTGTAAGGTTAAGGGAAAGAGTGAAGAAAGATCGAGATCGTGAACGGGAAAGAGAAAGAGAACGAGAACGAGAGAGAGAAAGGGATAATAGGGATAGAGATAGAGATAGGATAAGTCGGAGTAAAAGGAGGAGAGGTGAAAGGTTAATTGGTGGTGTTGATGATAGTTCAGAAGAAAGTGTAAACGATGATGAAGAAGAAGATGATGAAGATACTACTACTACAACTACTGCTACTGCTAACAACGTTGGTGTTTCAGGTAGTAGTAGTACAAGGTTGTTGCCGCCGAATCCTCCGGTACCGGTGACGGTGGGGTCCATTTCAAATCACCACCATCATCATAATAACCATAATCATAATAATCATCATTTACAGCCTCCGAGGAAGAGTTTTCCACCAAATACTACAAGGGTTTTTAGGACAGCAACACCAGCAGCAGCAGCAGCTCCTGTTTGGAAACCTGGTGATGAAATGATTGGTGTTTCTGTCCCAAGAAAAGCCCGTTCTGGTACTGTTTTGTCTATTATCGCTGTTTTTGACGATTTTTTGATTGACCCTTTTCTGATTTTTGGGTGTTTTTGGTGATTTTCAGCATCTACTAAGAGGTCACATGATTGGATTTCTGGGGTCAGCGGTGGTGGTTGTGTTGGTGGTAATAGTGGTGTTATTACAGGAGAGCAAATACATCAGCAAGTTTCGACAGCATCGCCGGTGAGACAGAATATTCCGGCAACATCAACACAATCACCGGCAGCTCCTTTATCTCCATCTTCTTCCAATGTTTCAGTCAGAAAGAAAATTGTTAGTCTCATTTTTTCAAATCTGATTTGCTACTATTTTCTTTATTTTGATGTATGTATTTCAACTGATTTTCTTAAAATCTTGATGCAGAAGCCTAATGGACAAAAAAGGCCGCCGGCAAAGTCACCACCAAAAGCTGCTTCATCCAACAACCCTGAAGAGCTAGAGATTGAGATTGCTGAAGTGTTATACGGGTTGATGACCCAGTCACAAGGACCTTCCAAGAAAGAAAGTGGTGGAGGAGGACGAAATGATACAACAAGAGAAGTCAATAACAGATCCAGAGTTTCTTCTCCTGTTTCAAATTCTAACTCATCAGCTACTCCTTTATCTGCTGTTGGTGAGCATAACTAAAAAAGTTCCAATCTTTTTCCCCAATAAATATCCCGTTTCTTGATTCTGTTCTGATGAGTCTTGGTTTTGTGCAGCTCCAAAGAGGAAAAGACCGAGGCAAGTCTTGGAAAATCCTGGAGGATTTGGTGCAAGGAGCAGCCCCATTTCATCTTCTACAGCTACTAATAAAGTGGAGATGGATCAGACAACAACAATGAAGATGGAGGTTTCTTCTCCTAATTTGGAGAAGACCCCACAATCTGCTGCTGAAAATGGTGTATCTTTATATGATTTAAGTGCTTCTGTACAAAGTTTGCCGGTTGCATCGGATCCGGTACCGGAGACGATGAAGGTGGAATCTGAGGCCAAGAGGAGGCCTGAGGAATCTGAATTTATGGAGAGTAAGGAGGAGGTGAGGGAGTCTTCTACTTTGGGAGCAGAAAATAGTAATCGTGAGGATGCTGTTGCAGTTACCCAAGTGTGAGTATCTATCCTAAGGTTTGATCTTTTTGCTCGTAATTCAACTTGTGTCTGATTCATGTGTTGTTGGAATTTCAGGATTGTTTCAGAAGTTGAAAGTCAGAGAGAGGAGAAATTCCAGATAGATCTTATGGTGAGGATGAAGATATGCCTAAAACAATCTATTCAGTTTTTTTCCAAGTTTGGTAATTGATCTTTTAAATAACTTTTTAGGCCCCTCCACCGCAGTTAAGATCATCACCTGAAAGGGAAGCTGAGATAGATTTTGGATCAGCAGCTGTGGATAAGAAGCCTATTTTAGCAGAAAATATAGTAGTGAGTATTCACTTTTTCTTTTCCTTTATTTCGTCCCTTGAGGATATTGAGGATGATCTGATGAATGAATTGGCTGATGCGTACAGGAAATGAAGCCTTCAGTGAAGGAGAAGGATAATGAAAGGATTGGCAAGGCTGAGAAAGAAGAAGTGATCAGTGTTGAAGCTGACGAAAAGAAGACAAAAGCAGCAGCCCTTGAGGAACTTAATCCTCATAAGGCAAGTGAGGGTAGCAGGGGTAGGAATATTGATCTTCAGCTAGATTTGGAAAGGCCAGAAAAGGATAGTGGTGTAAGTAGCAAATTCCAACAGCAGAGTCAAAAGTTGCTGCAGCAGCAGCCTCCACCACAAAAAGCTACTAAAGAAGAACCAATTATAGAAAAAACAGGTAGGTGTTGATTTTAGGGTTGATTGTAATGAAATCTTCCCTTGGATTTTTTAATTGATGGGGGTGATGTTTTCAATATTCAGGTCAATCAAGCTCTTTACCAATGCCAATGTCTATGGCTAGCTGGCCTGGTGGGCT